CCATGAGCCAAACCTCTGAGGCCTTGATTGTGACCGAGACGCTGCTGCGGTGTGTTCCTGTCCAGTGTGTGTGTGTGTGTGTGTCGGCGCGGATCTCTAGGTGACCTGCCTAGGCTTCTGGAAACCACCAGGACTCTGGTAAATAAACCACGTGTGATTCGTGCATCTTAATATTTGTCTCTGTGTTTAGTTTATGCTCGGTCAAATTTAATTAAGTACTGCGGGCAAACCCATATAAGTCCAATCCTTTGGCTGAGGGACCCCAGTCACCTATGCATACGTTCCCACCTGAGGGTGAGTTGGAATAGTTACTCACATGGTTCCTTTTGAAAAAAGGCACTGCCAGGTCACTCGAGGGCAGGGATGCTTTCCTTTTTGTAAACTGAAATTCAGTGGCAATTTCAAAAAACGTACATTGTATCAGGCCTATTCAAGCTCAGGAACCATAACCAGCAGGGGTTAAGTTAGGTTTTATGGGGGAGAAAAAAATCAATATTCATTTCTGTTTCTAGTGTGGGATAAAGTAACGGAGTTCCAATTAGGCTTTATATCTTCAATTACAGATCTCTTTCAAACAATCCACGATTCTAATGGAAGAGGACGGCATGGTATCTTTCCTCCTCCTCAGCACTGAAGTACGCACTGGAACGTACACAGCACGTTTAGTTATTAGTGTTTACCTAAACTCTCCCTCTAATGAGTGAGAAATGTCAGCATTGGGCTAGTCGTTACATTTTAATTGTGCAGAGATTATAAATATAACTGTGTGCCTAGAAAGCGCTCCCCAGAAAGGTTGACGGGGATGAGAATAGCAAAGAGGGGGGGAGGGGGGATGATGGGAGAGAGATCCATGGCAGATGAAGGCAGCAGGCGCTATTGGAATTGACAGCGCATACATTACCCGACCGGGGAGGAAGCACTATTTTTGCTTGAAAAATAATAGGACATTGTAATCATCTTCTGGAAGAAGCTGTAAAGCTGGGAGGACGAGATAGCTGTTTGAAAAGCAATTAAGCAGTCTCCTAGAGGATGCGGGGAGAAATGCAAATAGCCTTAGGCCCTCATCCTGTGTAAGCCCTTCAGGAGCCCAGACCTCCTGGAACTGCTGAAGGGCATTTGATGGGGGAAATGTTACTTCCAGAATAAGAGGGTGCACAGCTAGAGCAGGAAACAAAGGGCTGCGTTTAAAATCCAGGAAAAAGGGAATTGCTGACGCTCCTTTATAAGCCAGCTGCAAGATGGAGGTTGTCTCTGTGCTGTGTGCCAGCGCAGAAGGCGTCGTGTACGTGTGTCAAGATAAACGTGCACAGACCTGCTTTTCCGGATCTGCTTTTCCGGCTCTACCTAATGATTTATTACAAAAAAAATTATACTCCAGATTGAACTTGGAGAACAAACACAGCCACGTAATTGCTTTGACCTTTCTAGTACTTGCCATTCTTTCAAAGGTCACCCATTGATTAATATCACCCTTTAGAGAGCAGGCTCTCCCAAGTGGACCCTGCTGACATTGGTCTCCGTCCTTCCTGGTCAGGGCTCTCGTGTGTGCTATAGGATGTTTGGTAGCATCGTTGGCCTCTGCCCACTAGATGCCAGAACTGCCCCCCTCCATTGTGACAATCAAGAATGTCTTCCCACAGCTCTGGCTGGGTGGCCCAGTTGGTTGAAGTATCACCCCACACACCCCAAAGTTGCAGGTTTGATTCCTAGTCAGGGCACCATATATCTAGATTGTGATTTCTAGTTCCAGCATGTACAGGAGGCAACCCATTAATGTATCTCTCTCTCACATCAATGTGTGTGTTTTTTTTATTCTTTTTCTCTCTCCCCCCGCCTTTCTTCCCTCTCTAAAAAACCAATAAAAACATATCCTCAGATGAGGATATAAATAAAAAGTCTGTAGACATTGCCAAATGTCCCCAGGAGGAGGCAGAGAATGGGATCAAATGGCCCCTGTAGAGCAGCCAGCTGTGAAATGAATTAGATCATGTCCCAGCGCAGGGCCATGGAGAGCTTGTGCTCTGGAAGCCAGCTTGTCTAGCTGCAGATGCCTGCTCCCACGCTTTATAAGTAAATGAACTGGGGCACTGAGTCCCATGCCTTTCAGCCACCCCCGAACACCCCTAGCGGGGATCTGGGGCCCTGCTAATTGTTTTCTAGAGGTTTCTACTCTCTGAGCTCAAGGTTGCTATTGCTGCTTTTCTGTAAATGGATTAGATCAAGTAAAACAATCTGCAAACTCTGCAGGGCTCCACATCCAAAGCAAACATGCAAAACAGATCCGAAAGTGAAATGTCAGCTTTCCTCTAACCTGTGAATTTTCAAAGTGGTTTAATGTCTTCTAAGGTCAGCAATAAAGGCATATGGATAGCCCTCTCTCTGCCATGTGACAAGCAGGTTTTAAGATTGTGTGTGTTGCAGGGGAGGGGTGAAGTATGCAGAATCCATCCGAGGAGCCGGCTCTATAGTAATGATTGATTCAGAGTGCTGTGAAGGATGCTCACACCCTGGGATGCTGACTGGTTTAGAAATCTCTCTGTAGGCCCTATCTCAAGCTCACCACTGGATGTCACCCTGGTCCCACTGAAGTTTCTCACTACAGCTAACTTTTACACCAGGAAGACGGATCTGGGAGGAGATGGGGGACCAGAGTAGCCTTCACTTGTCCCAGGAAGGTTATGGTAAGGGCTCCTGGGTGCCCACAAATTGCTGGGAAAATGAAATGATATGAAAACCACCTTGTGCACAGCCGGGCCATAGCAGACAGTCAGTGCTCCCCAGACCTCTGGACCCCTGAATGCCCTTTCAGTGCTGTCACACTCTCAGCACCTACAGCCAGCTCAAGCCTGCGGTGCCCATATGAAGAGAGGGCCATTACTGCCGGGAGACAATGTTCCCCTATGGCAGTGACCACCAGACCAGCAGAAGCTCAGCTTTCTAGACTCTGGCTATGTAGTCCCTGAGGATAAATCTCTGAAGCCCAGTGGGATAGGGCAGAGACCAGCACTGTAGGGCTGCACACTTGTTGGCCTGTCCTGCTGCTCCTCTCGCCCTTCTCTTTTCTTCCTCTTTTCCCCAGAGCCATCTATAATAATAAAAGGGTAATATACTAATTAGACCATTAGACCAAACATCCTTCCAAGCATCATTCCAGATGTCCTTCTGGACAAAGCCAAGGCTGGAGTGAAGCCACCTGGGTCCCGGGTGCTGGAGGGAAGCTGGTGCTGGCAGCCAGGGGAAGGAAGGCCTACTCTTGCACAAATTTTCGTGCATTGGGCTTCTAGATCTTTCATAAATCACTCTACCTAAATCCTCATCTCAAGGTCTACTTCTGGGGAATCTCATCTAAGGAGCTGGGTTACAGTCCCTGCTCAAAAACCATTGGTTCCTTTTCCCCAGGATCCTCTCTCTCTCTCTCTCTCTCTGCTTCAGGTGTCAGTAGGATTTGGGCACACAAGTTAACGACCCCTATGCTGTTTCCTGTGGTTCTGTCCAGCTGACCCGTTCTCCCTGCTGACCCTCTGATTGTGGCTGAGGGTTACTTCCCAGGAACCAGTGTGTGTGCTTGTGGTCTGTGGAGGTCAAGGCTCAGCTTTATCCATTTGTGGCATCTGAAGACTCAGAAGCAGATAAAAAGATCTTTAAATCACTATGGAGTCATAAGGCACCAGGGATGAGAAGGAGCAGGAAGACTATTTTTGTTATTTTTTTCCACGTCTACAGAGAATCACTCAGATTAACATTCCCTGGTTATTGTGTCCAGAATAAATTCACATGGTGGAGCGGCTAGGAAAAGGGGAGAGGGAGGATAACAGGAGATGAGCGGTGGGAAAGCAGGGTGAGCTATTAGTAGCACCACCTCATTTTTTACCTCCCACACACCCTGGCTATGGGATAGCACATGCTTGAGAAAAAAATGATTAAAACAATTGCTCAAGTGTGACAGAAAAGTCATTTCCATTTAGAAAAATATTTAAATCATGGGTCAGGGAGCATTCTCTGTCTCAGTTAATGATGGGTGAGAGAGTCATTATATAAAGCATGTGATCAATATGTCATTTCCTGATTGAATTGCTGATATGTCCTAGTGTTTGTAGGGGACACAGCCGAGACAACATCAGAGCGTGGGAAGGCCTTCAAGTCACGAAAATTGCATTTCAAGGGTACAATGTGGAATGGTATTAGCCTGTGTAATTTCTTTTTCTCTCATTTTGTTTACCATTTCAGATAGATCAGGCTGATGGTTGAAGAAATTAGATTTTTTTTTTTCTTCCTAGTGCTAGCTCCTATTTCTTCTCTCTTCTCAGAGCTGAAATACCCACTCCCTTCAGAGATTTGTTTAAATACCACACAGATGAGCTTAATCTGTCCCTGTATTTAATCAGATCCATGAGGGCACGAGAATCTCCTCAACCAGTAAACACGAGAAGCAATAAATGCCCACATTTATCTCAGGGCAGGGGTGAGTGATGCTAAAGGCGATGGCACCTTTGACTTCTCTTTCTTCTAAGCGTAGGAAATATGCCAGAGTTTTCTAAAGCTTTAATACACAAAACCTTGCCTTAAATGGCCCCTTCTTCACGGTTGTGGGATGACCAGTCCACAGAAAACTGAAAAACATACCCCATTCCCAGAGCCTTCCCCTCCCTTCCCCCCGCCACCCCCTCGCAATGACTTTCTACACTCTAAAGTAAAGATGTTTTTTAAAATAGATTTAAACTCAAAAATGGTGACTTTTTTTGAGTCTAGTAGAGACATTTTTATTAACATTGTAAATAGACAAAGAACACACATTTATGACTACATCAAAGGAATTACATTAGTAATATAAAACCAAAGCAAATTTCCAGTTAAATATAGGAAAACTTATGGGTCAATTGGAGCCACCCAAACTGCGTTTCTCACCAGACTTCCTTGCCACATCGTCCTTGACTGGGGAATTTACACAGGAAGAGAGAGGAAATTCACCTTGAAACAGGAGAAAATAACCTACAAACTTGTTTTTCTGTGTCTTTTCCCTTAAAGCTTGAATAACACCAAGTGGCAACACATATTAAAGGGAAACTATTTTATTAAAAATATTTTATAAACTGTCCCACCCCCCACTATGTACACACATACTTATTTAAAATTTGGAGAGGGGTAAATGGATCATTTAGAGGGTAAAATTTTATTCAAATTAAATAATTTGTGAGACTTTAAAAAAGTAAATTTAAAAGCATCGCTCACACATCTATGAGTCCAAATAGTCCCCCCCCCCCCCCCCAACTTCACAACCCAAAGCCATCAATCAAAGATTAAAGGTAACAACAATCCTGGAGTACTCCCTGATGATACAGTGCCTTTGAGTAAATTATAGCATTCTAATTTTCAAGAAAGTCACGTAGGAAGAAAACAGCATGTCCAAAGGGAACACCTGTGTGATCTACCAGGCTTATACAGGGAGCCAGAGAGCAGGGAAGAATTACTATTTAGAAGTAGCTACGGACGAACCATCTTCTCTAAGCACCCCCATGTAAGAGAAGGCTGACAAGCAATCCTCTGCTTCCAATCACCCACTTGCGCTGAAACTAAGCCAACAGAAAGGCAGACTGAGTTGAAGCCCTTCCTTTTCTGCCTTCTCTGGCCCCAAACCCTAATCCTCCTGTAAGGTAACAAATTCTGGAAACCAAAGTCCAAAGTAAGAGACACAGAATTTGGAGTTTCTTTATTGTTTGCCTTTTTTTCTTAATTTTGATGTTTTCTTTCTATTTGCAGATTTGTCTAAGTTCTTACTCGCAGAAAAAGTCAATATCCTGGAACAGAAACAAAAAGAAAAAGAGAATGAACTGAGAGGTGGGGCCAGAAAACAGATGTAGATTCTTTATTTAAAATCTTACCTAATCAAAGGTTCATTTGGACTTAAAATAAGTAAAGGTTGAAACCCAAAGATTATGACATAATTATCACTTTAAAGTAAAAGTACTTAAAATGAAAGTTCTGAAATACACTTTTAATGCATGCTTATTTGACACATTCAATTTCAATGCTAACAGGTGATGACAAGTGAGTCCCATTTGGTTAGGTAGGGCAACGTTTTGAAATTATTTTGTTTTAAAATAACCATCTTACAAAGTAGCTCTAAGGGGATCTTTTAATTCTGTCTTGGCTTTACAAGATCCAAGGGCATTGGAAAGAGTGTAATTTATTTTTTTATACATAAGTGGAGTCTACCACAAAAAATAAGGTATTCAAAGATTTTCCCAAAATGTATTGATTTTATTAAATACAGATGATATATTTTTTCCCCAGCCCAAGTCTTTAGCAAATAAATATGTGACCATCAGTAAGAGTCAGATGATACTATTTTGGTTTCTTTCTTTGTGACATGAATTACTTTCAACTAAAACAAAAGTGGGAGAAGGTCAGTGGAGAAAGTTCAATACTCTTTCAACCTTGATAGTAGGTATGGATGCTCTCCCAAACCTTTCTGTCTCAGAAGTCACCATGGGAACCTGGGGCTTTGCTCTGTATGTGTTATGAGCTACATGGTGCATGTTAAATACTAGCCTGCATTATGCCAAGAACTGAGTCTTTCTCTGGCCACCTCTGAGACACTTACCGTGGTCGGGACTTCTTTGGTGGCTTCCTGGTACACGTGTTGCTCCTCCACCAAGTTTCTGGGAAAATAACCCACCGTTCCCATCTCGTCCTCATCGTCATCACCATACACCTGTGCCCAGAAACAGAACAGTCAAGGGAAAGAGGATGAGAGTCTCCAGAAACCCTCAGGAATCCCTTTGCTGTTGTGAGGATGACATAACTGCCAATGCCTTGCATTTCACTCTGGATTCTGGGGACTCAGACTTAAATTTAAGTTCATTTATAAGAATTAAGTCAACCCACAGAAGTTGTGAATCTATTCTTCTGTGGCCCATTCTCTTACTGGTCTCACTACTTCAGCATGCCTTTATTTTCTGTAATCTTGTGAGCTGCCTGAAATCATTTTGGAATCATAAATAAATAAAGTCAGTAAATTTTTTTAAAGTAAACTTTTATTTTAAAGAACTTGCATTTCTCAGTTTTTAAAAATTTTAATGAACAGACACTTGATTAAATTTAAAATTTAGTTCTTCATTACCTGAAAATCTATCCGTGGCATACTGACAAGGGCAGTAAATCAGTCCTGCTTTACCCCTCCCCAGGACCCACACTATACATTTAACAAAACAAAACAAAACAAAACAAAACAAAACAAAACAGCAAATTCTTTGGAATTAAAGAGGGGGCTAAAGTTTCCTTAAAATTATTAAAACATAGACCGACTGCTAACATACATCCCTTTACTTGGCTAATCCAAGTAACTTTTAATAAGTTTCAGACTCTTTGGGAGGCTCAAGTTCCCATGGTTTTTCTTGCAAAAACATCACATAAGCCTGCATTTGGTTCTGTTATAAAATTGTCATTGTTTCTTCAAAATACCATAAAAACAAATATACATGAATTTTTGTACTTGCATCTACAATCTCTACATTGTTCTTAACAGCCAGTTTTAAACATGTAAAATGCATTGACGATAGGTAATAGAGGAAAAAGTTAAGAGCAACATATGTCAAGATGTGTATATATTTTCAATAATCTCATCTTACACTGCCAGCCCAAAATTCTCCAGCTTCATTTTCTTTTACCAGCTTTGAGTAAACATATATCTGCTGCCCTTTTTTAACATTAATGAATCTACAGTCTGGGGCACTGTAATCTTCTTGAGCTCTGGTCAGAGAAATAGTATCTGGAAGGAAAAACAAAACAAAATATCGAATGACTACCTTTTTTATTCCTAGATTTTAAAAAAGCAAAAAGGCAGAGCAGATCAGAAAACTAGGAAATCAGAGTGACTAACACCTTCCCATTCACAGCTTCTGAACAGTTCAAAGGGAGTAAGAAATGCAAAGCATTAAAGCTGCATCCAACAGAATCTTAGCCATGCAAATTTTCTATGGTTAACTCTCTAGAGATACAGACCAGGATAAAAGAACGCCAATCAAACATACACTTCAAGAAGATTCACTTCAAAGAACAATCAGATTTTGCGCTGTTAGTGGCTAGTTTTTCAATTATTTAGTAACAATATAATACAAGGCATTTGAAAAGTCCTTACAGACACACTCCTCATCTGCACATAGCTTCTTGGAGGCTAGTTTGTCCATAAATATTCCATGCACAGTGCCTATGGCCACAAGACCTGGAAGGAAAAGTAACAGTAGTCTTGCCATCGCCTTCTTTGCTGCTTATGCTATTGCCCTTTGAGTGGAAGTGGAAACTGACTTCAGTGGTTCCTGCCTTTTTATGTGAAAGCCAGACATCTGGGTAAATCCCCTCGGCCAATGGGATGGTGCCTCTGCTTTCATAACAGCTACTGGGCTCCAGGGGCTACTTAGCATCTGATTTTCCAAAGAGACTCAAGTTCTGTGTCTTTTTTAATATTTATTATATATACACACAAATGATTTCCAACTGGTCCATCATTGTTAATACCACTTTAGTTGTGGTTTACTGCATCAGCAGGACATTGTTTGAAAAACTAGAATTTTAGATCTTTTTTTTTATTAAAAAAAATAGTTCAATTCTCATATTCTTTCAACCTCTGAACAAAAATGTGCTAACTGTAGGAATCTGTTGAAAATGTGAGAGCTACATCTTTGGTGCAAAGGATTTTGATTTAAACAAATCCAATTGACTATCTGGGTTTATATAATAGGTAAACGAAAGGATGCCGGAGTTTAGACGTCATTCATGATAGGATTCTTAGAAATTGTGTCTGTCTTGAGTCAGACATAGATTGTAGCACATGAGTCACATTCAGACTCTACTAATGGGAAAAGGAAGAGATGGGTGGGTTAGAAAAATAGAACAATCTTTTCTCCCCCTACTTTATCTGAGACTTTTGAAAGTCAGTCTCAAAATGTTCAAGAATTATGGACCTTAAAGAAGGAAGCAAAGCTAGAGGTTTGTGTTACCACTTCCACCCCTTCCCTGCTTCAGAGCATCTTTCCCATGGAAAGTGTGGCACAGCTGGAAGCCACCATAGTTGAAGCACAATACCTGGCTCCATCTATTCAATCAATTTACTAAGTACTTACCTTGTGCCAGGCTCTGTTGTAGCCATTAGAGACATAGGAGTGAATAAGAGTCTCTAGTCTCACAAATTTACTTTCTATTAGCAGAGATAGATGGTAGGTTGCTAGTTTTATATAGCGTTTGGGGATGGCATCTCTCTGATAAAGTGTCGTGCCCCATGGTTTATGGACTAGAGGTCCCTGTCAGGATGCCCTGCCCACTTGGTGGACGACGACATTTCAGAGCATTGCCTCTCTGATCCAGCCCCCAAATGCATCCACCTCAAAAAATGAAGGCCAACCATTCAACTTACCAATTAATTTTGTACAAAATAATTCTCCAAGGGAGAAACTGGAAAAAAGCAAAATATATTTACAATAGGATTTTCAAAATTGATTAATTGGGGGCGGGGGTGGGAGGCAAGGGGTTGTATAAAGTTTCCTTGTTTTGTTTGTGTGTTGATGGGGGACTGACGGGGGGTGGGGGGAAGGGTTGGTGCAGTGTGATTTTCAGGGGAGGATCTGCTGTATTTTCTGTTTGGGTATTTAATAAGCATTTTGTCTTTGGAAAATGTATCCAACAAAGACCTAATGAAGAATATGGAGCTCTAGCTAAAACATTTTCCTTTATTTGATTTGCCCTTTAGCAATTCTTCTCAAGCTTTAATGTTCATATGAACCCTTTGTATATCTTGTCATAATGTAGATTCAGATTTAGGAGGTCTGGGATGAGGTAAGAGAGACTATTTCTATAAAGTGATATCAAAGTTGCTTGTCTGCAGACCATGCTTTGGTGGCCAGACCATTGAGTCTCTGCCCTAATAATTTAATCAGTGAGTATTAATTTTGGAAGAATGAACCTCTTTTTAAATATGATAAAACATAGGGACTTTCACCTGAAGAAAAAAAAAGGACATGTGCATGTATATACCTAAGCATACTATCAATATTTCAGGGGACTCATGCATTTATTCAATGAATACCTATTTATGAGCACTAAGTTTTTTTTGAGTGCTAATTATAGAGTGATGGGCAAGATAGACAAGATCTCCACCTCATGGAGCTTTTGATTGTAACATTGGGGGACAAAACACCACCAAGCAAATAAAAAAGGCATGCCACATGTGATCAATGTGACTGGGAAGCTTGTCATGATCCTATGATGGATTGATTGGTTGGAGTGCAAGAAGTGGTCTGGTAAACTGGTCTGTCTGTGGAGACATCTTGGCCAAAAACCTGAATGTCACTCACTGAAGGGAAGGCAACTCACTTAATAAACTCAAAGGTCTGAAGTGGAAATAAGCTCAGCATTTTCAAAAGATAGAGAGCGGCTGGTATGGCAGGCACAGAGCCAGTGAGGGAGAATGACAGGAGGTGACTTCAGAAGGGCAGAGAGCAGATCACTCGTAGGGGTGTCGAACTCAATCAGAGAAGGGGCCAAAATCTAAAATCCAGCCTAAATCGCGGGCCGAATGGTTTACTGAATAGTCATAAACTGTCATTGTGATGGAAACGCAGCGGAGTGCAGTGATGACAGCACGGTGCGGGCCACATTGCAAGGCCTGGCGGGACGGATTTGGCCCGAGGGCCTTGTGTTTGACACATGTGACTCAGAGCCTTGTAGGTTGTGACAAGCCTTAAAGTTTAAAATGGAGATGTGAGCCTTTCACAAATTTTTACTACCTTGTATTTATATAGACTTTGAAAAACACAATTTGAAAGAAATCTAATCATTATAACATACTTTTAAGGGATGTTAGAAATCTACTTTGTTAGTTATTTCTTAACCTTGACTTACATTGGAACCACCCAAGAGCTTAAAACTGATTGATGAATGGGTTTCACCCTGGATTTAACTGATATAGAGTATGGATTAGAAAATGTTTGAAAATGCTTCCTAGATGATTCTAATATGCAGCCTACAGGGGTTCTTGTCCCAGCATTACAAGGGGCTTCAGCAATCTGAAGAAAGGAGCTGATGTGTAGATTAAGGAGTTCATAGACCAAAGATAATTTTGAAAGGCATTGGGGGTCAGAGGAGCTTCAGCTAAAGGAGCTAAAACTACCCCTTGACTCAAGACCCCATGCCGTTTATTAACACAATTTGTCCTAAAACAAGATGGAGATAATACACTTCAAAGGGTAGGGCTTAAAAGGGTAGGGTTGTCAGTTTTGGGAATAGCCTACAGCTGTTCAGGTGTTTGGCCAACAGGAGGCAATAAAATGCAGATTAAGAAGCCCTGAGCTGTCTAGCAGCAAACAATCCTATTCATGTTTGGGGAAAGTGCTATTTAGCTGTTACAACAGGTAAACTATACATGTGTGGCTCAGCCCTTGTTGAGACCAAGCTTCACCAACCTTTTGATGAAAGTCTTGTAATTATGACATGTTGGGTTTGGTTCCCAGCAGCAGCCAAAATCGAAAGTCAAATTCAAAATTGAGAACCACTATGTTAGATAGATAGCAACACTGTTCCCTCCAAATGCTCCTAGATACTCCCACAGATGGGTAAAGAAGGTCATGAAAGCCTAGTTTGATCACATCTTCTTCAAAGAAGAATTAACTCCTTTTTCCTTCCCTTTCCTCACTCTTAAAGCCTTGCTTTCTAAAGTTTGATTACACACAAGGAGGTTGAGCAATTCAGTAAATGCATTGAGATTAATGGGACTGGTGGAAAGTTTCAAATAAGGAGGAGGACTAGACTAGATCTTCTCTATAAAATTAAGATCATGAGGAGCTCAAGCTGGGTTGGAGGGCGTGGAGCTCTCTCTCAGACCCCACTTGGGCCCTTTCTCACCTGACCCTGACCAGATGCGGTACTGCAGGGCCTGGGCCTGGCTCGAGGGGCAGGCACCATGGTCCTGGTCGGATATGGGCAGGAAGCACAGGTCTTACAAAACAAACACCTGCCTCTACTAGGAACATGCAGAGAAGCCCTTGAAGCTGGTCCTCCAGGTAGAAGGGAAAGATGTCAACAAGCTGTCCACCTGCAGCTCAGGGCATGACTCAAGCCTCTATGAGACAAGAAGGATCATGACGAACACAAGGACAGAACTCAGAAAAAGAGAAAGATGAGAAGTAGGTCCAAGGGAGAAAACACAGATGCGTGTGAAGGAGGATTAAAAAGAAGCAGGATTTGAATCATGTGGAGAATGAGGCAGAAAAAGACCTTCAGGGCCAGGTCCCTGCAGGATTAGACTTGCCTCCTGAGAAGCCTCTGAAGCTCCTTAGCCAAACAAGTAGAACACACACCTCTTTGAGTCAACTGATGAGACAGTTGCAAATAAAAGACCCAAGTGCTTTCTTTTCATTTCCTGTGACTGACTTCATTTCTCCCAGCTACTTCATGATCATTAACCACCCAATAGATTTTAGTACCATGAAAGAAAAGACCAAGAACAATGACTACCAGTCTACAGAACTAAAGGATAACTTCAAGCTTAGGTGTACTGATGCTATGATTTACAACAAACCAGAGACCACTTATTATAAAGCTGCAACAAAGCTATTGCACTTAGGAGTGAACATTCTTAGCCAGGAGAGAATTCAGAGCCTGACGCAGAGCACAGACTTCATGGCAGATTTGCAGAAGAGTCGAAAGCAGGAAGACTGAATGGACAACAGGCAGAGAGGGGAGTTTGGCAGCTGCTTGCCACCAAAAGGGAAGACTCAGGCAAGATGGGAACACAAGCCTTTGAGTCCCAAAGAGGAAAACAAAGAGAAAGACAAAGAGGAAAACAAAGAGAAAAATGTGTTTGAAGGTAGTTAAGAGCAATAATTTGGAAAGAGAGAGCAGGAGGGAAGTTGACCTGATAGCTTATTTTTTAAAATATATTTTATTGATTTTGTACAGAGAGGAAGGGAGAGAGATAGAGAGTTAGAAACATCGATGAGAGAGAGTCATCGATCAGCTGCCTCTTGCACACCCCCTACTGGGGATATGCCCGCAACCAAGGTATAATACATGCCCTTGACCAGAATCGAACCCAGGACCCTTCAGTCCCCAAGCCAACGCTCTATCCATTGAGCCAAACCGGTTTCGGCCTGATAGCTTATTAATAGTCAAGTGTGAATTTGAAAGAAGAAAACCAGACAGAACAATGCTGGAACTTCACCCTGTGGATCCCATTGTAGGAAAAGATGGCTAATGTGGCTACTGCCCCTGGAGACAAGACATGACCACTGGAGAGCTCCAGGGGGAAGACTCTGCAGGGGTTCAAAGGTGATTAAAGGAACAAAATAACTCTGGTGTTATACTTGAATTGAAAGCCCTCCAGTTCTTATGCACCATCCATGACTCCACATTTGCCAGTATCAGCAGGGACAATTCTGATTTGATCTAGTCAACCTAAGGGAAAGACTCTGATCTCCCCCGAGATTTCAGCAAAGATAAGTTTTTGGCCACATGTCAAGGTTATCTATATGTCAGGGCAGTTAGTTTATTGGATGTTTTAACAAAAGGAGGACATTCTGGAACCCTGCAGAAGTTGGAGATGTTATCACCTGAAGGTGAAGGCCAGACTAGGACACTCGACACAGTCAAAGAAATAGATTACAGAAACAGAACCAGCCCGAAGGGTGGACTCCAGGAGTCAGCACTGGAAGCAGTAGCAAACTTTGGTGCTCCAGTTAACATTTTTTGACTGAAGAAGTTCGTGTTCCAGAGGAAACAATAAGAAAACCAAAGTGCTCAGTGAGTTCCAGGGGGCCCAAAACAAGCACCTGAGCACCAGACCCACTCCCAACATGATCTGTCTCCCATGCAGAGAAATGTATCTTACTGAGCAGTGACCAATAACCTTAAAGAACTTAAGGCAATGTAGTAACTCCAGGTAATGTAGGCAGCATGTATGTAGTTTGGAAAGAAATGGGCATTCCATCCCCTGCCCAGTCGTGCAACACAGCCCAGTGGGTTCAATGGATTTTGAAGAAAGCAAAATGACTGATGTTGCTGAGTGTGGGCCTGATGGGATTTGATGCTAACACCTATTTGATTATATATTATGGACATATTCCTTCATTCTTAATTTAGAAATGCTTCTCAGAAGCTATTGAATATATTACAAATTGTGTTAAACTTTGGAACAATTAGAGTATTATTTTTTTATTTTTTAAATCAAATCTTTATTTTTTAAAGCATTTCATGTCCCCCTTTGGTCCCTTTTAGCCTGCCCAGTACTCAGTCCCAGCCCCAGCCCTTCACCACCCTATTGTCTATGTCCGTGAATTATACATATAGCACACAAGTTCTTTGATCTCTTCCCACCCACCTCTGCTTTCCCTCTGAGATTCCATAGTCTGGAACCATTAGTTTTAATGTTGCAGACACTAGGCTCTGTTATGTAATAAAGCTGAACCTGGGCCTAGGGGGGAAAAAAAAAGATTGTGAAAGATAAAGACA